AGGTAGGCACTGGGAATGAAAAGACCAAAAATCAATCAGTCTCTGCCTTCAAGAAGTTTAACTTCTATAGAATGTGAAGTGGGAGTGGGGTTACAACACAAGACTGGGCGAATCTCTTAACCTCTCTGTGTCTCATTTGGTGGCTACTGAAATCCATTTTGTTGCTAAATCTATGATCTTATGATCCATGCAAAATAATTTCAAAGAAAAAATGTTGATATCTGATGGATGAAGAAAAAAACTCATGAAAGAAGTGACAGTTGAGCACCCCTTTGAAAGAAGTTAGAGAGTTCTGCTAGGCCAAGCTTAAGCAAGGGGCACTGCTTATTCAAAAGAATAGAAGCTGGAGGAATGACATGTATGGGGAACAAATAGCAAGCCTGTTAGAATGTGTAAAAGGGAGTAACGTAAAATGGCTAGAAAGGCAGATGTTATGTTGTTTTGTTGTTCAACAACAATGTCCAACCTTTATGACCTCATGGACCATAGCAGGCCAGGCCTTTTATCTTCCACTATTTCTTGAAGTCTGTCCAAATTCATGTTCATTGTTTCCATGATACCATCCATCTTATCCTCTTCTGTCCTCTTTTCCTTTTGCCTTCAATCTTTCCCACCATCACAGCCTTTTCCAATAAGTCCTGTCTTCTCATTATGTAGCCAAAGTATTTAAGTATTCAGTATTTGACCTTCCAGTGAATGTTATTGTTGTTCAGTCTTTCCAACCATGCCTCCATTTGGAGTTTTCTTGGCAAATATATTTTAGTGGTTTGCCATTTCCTTCTCTAGTTTATTTTACAGATGGGGAACTGAGGCAAACAGGATTAAGTGACTTGCCCAGGGTCACATATCTAGTGTCTGAGGCCGGATTTGAACTATGGAAGATGAGTGTTCCTTAACTCCAGCACTCTTTCCACTGTGCCACCTACTTGCCCCGTAAATAGTTTAAAATAATTTAAGTATTGACTGATTTGATTTCTTTGCTGTCCAACGGATCCCCAGAAGTCTTCTCCCCCACCACAATTTGAAAATATTGACTCTGCAGGTATAAGCTTTCCTTATACAACTCTTTGCCATCATATATTGCTATTAGCAAAACCATAGCTTTGACTATACGGACCTTTGTCAACAAGGTGATGTCTCTGCTTTTTCTTGTTCTGTCCAGATATGCTTTCCTACCAAGGAGCCATTTCATGGCTGCAGTCACCATCTGCAGTGATCTTTGAGCCCAAGAAAGTAAAATCTGGCACTGCTTCCATTTCTTCTCCCTCTGTTTTCCAGGAAGTAATGGAACCAGTTGCCAAGATCTTAGGGGTTTTTTTTTTATGTTAAAGCTTCAAATCAGCATTTGCAATTTACTCTCTCACCCTCATCAAGAGATTTCTTAATTCTTACTTACTTTCTGCCATTAGATTGGTATTATCTGTATATCTGAGATTGTTGATATATTTTTCCTGGCAGCCTTAATTCCAGCTTTTGATTCATCCATCTTGGCATTTCTTATGGTATACTCTGCATATAAGCTAAATAAATGAGGTGATATACAGCCTTGTCATACTCCTTTTCCAATCTCAAACCAATCAGTTGTTCGGCTCTAACTGTTGCTTCTTGACCCACATACAGATTCCTCAAGAGACAAGAAGATATTATAGGAGACTTTAAATGCTAGGCTAAGGATTTTGTAATTTAAATAGAGTCAATAAATAGCAAGTCATAGGAGATTTTTTTAGTGGGGTGGTGATATTTTCAGATCTTGCTTTAGGAAGATCCATTTGACAGCTGTATAAAAGAAGCTTGTGGAGGGGAAAGACATAATTAGGGAGATCAATTTGAGGATATTGTAATAGGGCAAGTGAAAGATGATAATATCCTGGACTAGGTGGAGGCCTAGAGTAGTGTGAATAGAGAGGCAGAGTATGGTGAAGGGATAGATGCAAGAGATATTACGGAGTTAGACTTGTAAAGACTTGGCAGCTAATTGGATATAAGGCTAGGGGAAAAGAGGAAAAAGGAGAATGACTCCAAAGTTTCAGACCTGAGTGAATCAGAGTGCTGGTATCATCCAAAGAAATGAGTAGTTGAAGAGGAATAATGAGTTTTAGGAAACTATAATAAGTCCAGTTTTTTTTTACATGTTCAGTTTATGACATCTACAGAATACTTGGTTGAAAGTATCCAGCAGATAATTGGTGATGTGGGAATAGAGTTCTGGACAGAGCTTAGGTTTGGATCTTGGGAGTTATCTACATACAGATGATAGTTAAACCAGTCAAAGTTGATAAGATCACAGAGATATATAGAAAATTGCAGCGGTATGGGGAAGAACATGGCCAGCTTAGTAGCTTGCAGCTTTAATTCATTATTCTCATTAATTCAGTGCAAAGTTCAGTTGTTTCTACCTTGCTGATGGAATACCCTGTAAATGTCAGGTCCATGGGAAAATCCTCAGTTGCCCTACTTTAATTACAGCTCTTGACAAGAACAGCACAGGATCAGAAAAGCATGGGACATGTACAGGGGATGAGGGGAGAGTGAGTAATCCAGTTTGGCTAAACTACTGTTTATGAAAAGAGCATGCAAGGAAAGGTAAACTTGCTCCAGTTTATAGAGGGCCTTGGAAACTAGGTGAGATGACTTGTTTAACATCTAGTGGTAACTCATCGAAACTGCACAGCATGTTGCCTAGGAAAACATCCGATAGATTCAGTGTCTAGCACAGTGCTTTGTACCATAGTAGGCACTCAATAAATGATTATCTAATTCGATTAAATTGAATGGAGATAAGTCTCAGTAATTAAACTTCCATAAAGTGACAGCAGAGGCCACACATTCTTCAAAAAATAGTCAAGAATTGAAAGGCAGTGTTTCTGGAAAGAGTCATGTCAATGAATAGAGGCAAATGTTTCTGAAACCATTTTAGTAATAGATAGATAACTGACTTTTTTATAGGTTTCAAGGGTATACAAAGCATTGTACATATATTAACTCCATCGATCCTCACGACAACCTTGTGAAATACATAGATTTATTATCTTCATATGATAGCTGAGGATTGTATAAGGATCAGAGAGGTTAAATACCTTGTGCCTAGTCTCATCACTAGTAAGCATTACAGAATTCAAGCTAAAATCTTTCCTGACTGTAAATCCAGGACTAATTCTGCCATATTAGCAAAATCATCAATCATCATCATTATTATCATCATCAAAATAGTAGACTGAATGGGGAATTACAATGATGATTTTAGACTCAAAAAGACCTGGGTTAACCAATTGTGCATGATCTTGGGCCAGTCACCTAATTTCTATATTCCTTTAGGTAAATTACCACAAATGTGCTCTGCATTGTTGGAGACAGTTTCCATATCGAAAGTTCCTAAATCAGTGAGATCCCAAATCCTTCTCATAGAAAAACTGGGATTTATATTACAGTTTGAAGTTTGCAACATTCTTTACATAAATGATATCATTTGAGCCTCAAAACAATCATGTCAGGCAAATACTATGAGAATTATTATCTCCATTTGACCAATGGGAAATTTGGGACTCGATAAGTTTTGGTAATTGGCCCATCATTACACATCTAGTATGTATCAGAGTCAGGATTTGAACCCAGTGCTCTCTGCCTTCAAGTATACTAACCTCTTTACTTATTACTGTGATGGCTAGTGTTTTTTCCCTAAATCTACTCCTTTTGATGAATAAGAGTAAATCTTCAAAACTTATCTCACAGAGGATTTTAGGAATGGATTAGCTTGTGAACTACTGAATCCCAGGTCACTGATCTCAGATTACTCAGGACTAGGCCTTAACTCCCCATCTTCAAGTAGCTCAGGCGACTGATAGGGACTTTGGAGAAATTCTTAGTGCACCAAAGCTCCATTATTGTTGTTAGGGGTGTGGGGGGGGGAGTGGCATATTGCGGGGGACTCCATTCTCTTTATGCTGCTCTTGTCACCTCTTCTTCCTAGGGGTCAAAGGTATTGGGCAGGGACGTAAGATGTGGATTGCACTATCTAAAAAATGTAACCTTTTTTTTGTGTGTCATGGACTCCTTTATTAGTCTGGTGAAGCCTACAGACTCCCTCAAAGAATAATACATTACAATGCATAAAATGAAATATATAGGATTACAAAGGTAACCAGTTATAATGAAATACAGTTATCAGTTTTGAAGAAAAATCTCACAGACCCCATGTTAAAAAAGATGTCTCTGTTGGCTGCCCCTTCCCTAACACACCTGCACCAGACTGACATGGGTGCCTGGAAAGAGTGCTGGATCTGGAGTCAGAGGACCTTCAAATCCAGGCTCAACCACTTGCCACCTATGTGACCTTGGACAAGTCGTTTAAACTCTTTAAAATGAGAAGGTGGCACTCAGTGACCTCCAAGGTGCTTTCTAACTCTGAAGTCTATGATGTCCATTGTCATCCATCACAACCACCCTCATATTGAATTTGCCCTCACTACCATGCTTGCCAGATACAACTCTAAGAGAGATGACTGAAATACTGAGTTTGGACTTGAAACAAAACCAGGAGAAATAAGTTAAGTTAGCTCTGAACTGATTTGGTAAAGACTTATGAGAAAAACTTTTTCTTGCCAAAAGTAGGGTTAGGGATATCTTATTTGTTAATAGTCTGTATCAGAAGTTCTTAACCTTTCTTGTGTCATAGACCTCTCATAGTCTGGTAAAATCTACAAATCCCTTCTGAGAATAATATTTTGTTGCCTACATTCATAAGGGAAAGAAATGCTAAGTTTTAGAGGTTAGTGAAAATGAAGATGTATTTTTTTCCCCATCCAAGTTCATGAACCCCCTGAGATCTATCCATGAACTCCTTGGGGATCTATGGACTCCAGGTTAAGAACGTTTGTTCTATATGGTTTGATGACATCAAAAAGGTAGTTGTTTTTTAGTCAAGTACTCTTTGAGGATATATAATCATAATTCATTGATCTGAATTTTTACTTTTCTTTCCTTTTTCTCTGTCTCCTTCACAGAAAAAATTATGACATCGACATCCAAAGGAATTTTACGCCCATTTTTAATCACCTGCATTATCCTGGGTTGTTTCATGGCATGCCTGCTCATTTACATCAAACCCACCAACAGCTGGATCCTTGGCCCCATAGAGACAACCAGCTCTGTTCTGAAAATGAAAAATTTCTTTTCCAGCAAAACTGATGATTTGAATGAAACCATCATATTGATTTGGGTATGGCCTTTTGGGCAGACATTTGACCTTTCATCCTGTCAAGCAATGTTTAACATCCACGGGTGTCGTCTTACCACCGATCGAGCCCTTTACAACAAATCCCATGCTGTTCTGATTCACCATCGAGACATCAGTTGGGATCTCACTAATTTACCCCAGCAAGCTAGGCCGCCATTCCAGAAATGGATTTGGATGAACTTGGAATCGCCTACCCACACACCCCAGAAGAGCGGCATTGAACACCTCTTCAATCTAACTCTGACTTATCGCCGTGACTCAGATATACAAGTGCCTTACGGCTTCATGACAGTAAGCACAAACTCCTTTTTGTTTGAAGTGCCAAGCAAGAAGAAACTGGTGTGCTGGGTTGTCAGTAACTGGAATCCTGAGCATGCAAGAGTCAAGTATTACAGCGAGTTGAGTAAAAGCATTGAAATTCATACCTATGGACAAGCATTTGGAGAATATGTGAATGATAAAAGTTTGATTCCCACCATATCTACTTGTAAATTTTATCTTTCCTTTGAAAACTCAATCCACAAAGATTATATCACTGAAAAACTCTACAATGCTTTTCTGGCTGGTACAGTACCTGTTGTGCTAGGTCCATCTAGGGAAAACTATGAGAATTTTATCCCGGGGGACTCCTTTATTCATGTGGAAGATTACAGTTCTGCCAGTGAGCTAGCCAAATATCTTAAGGAGCTAGACAAAAACGATAAGTTATACCTCAGTTACTTTAACTGGAGGAAGAGCTTCACAGTGAATCTCCCACGGTTCTGGGAAACACATGCATGCTCTGCTTGTGATCATGTGAAGAGACACCAAGAGTACAAGTCTGTTGGCAATCTAGAAAAATGGTTTTGGAATTAACATTTGCCATCTCTTGCACACTTAGTAGAAGATTCTGATGGAATCTATTTCAAGCTGTGATAATAAAAAGAGAGACATCAGTCTGTGTTCTGTGCCACAGCTGACTCAACCATCCTCTCTTGGGTACCTTATTTATATTTTGTCAGAGTTCTAAGAGATCAACATCAGCAGTCTTCAGCGCTCGATTTTAAATTATACTGTATATAGCTAATTATCTGCACTGAAACATAATTTATTGTTTACTATCATTTTTAATCAATGTTGGGTTTTTTTTCTTCCACATTTGGGTTAGGTTGTTGGAAATGTAAATTTGTTATTTGATTGTTGTGGTTCTACATTGATCAGCTGTGTAATCTATTTGGAAAAGGAAGGCCCAGATTATGGTATCATGGAGGATTTCCATTTAATTCTTTCCCCGGTAGTTTAAATTTCCCACAGTGTAACAAGGAAGCAGTGTGTCATAATTGAATTAAAATTAATCTTCTTGTATTCCCAAGTTTAACAAAGGGCATAGTTGCCTTTCTTTTCATCTTATCTGCATACTATGTTTATGAAGGCAGAGTTATTAATGTATTAAAAAGGGAAAAAGAACAAACTCTAACAGAGTATTAGTGTGTTATCCAGAAAGCCAACTGACTTACCATTTATTTCATTATGATAACTTGCAACTGTATATTTTTACTCTCACGATCTTCAGATAAAATTTTGGAGTACTATTCACTCACATTCTTGTGGTCCAGGAAATAGCATTTTAATAACTTTTAAATGTGATACCAGACTGTTTCCACCTTGATGAAATAATTACAACAAAAAAGATGACTTTCCCCCCAGCAGGAAAAGAAAGGTGTATAGAGGATGTGCCAATAATAATAACAACTGTAAATGTTATCTTAATGTAAAAAAGTTTTACATATAAACCAATATATTTTTTCTATAATAGCATATGTGAATAACATCTGAATAAATTTAAAGATATGCGTCAATATAGGTAAATTATGTGAATGGGCATTATCTTTATTGTGAATAGGCCTAAGTATCTGAGCAAAATTCTTCCATTTTTCATTCAAGTATTCCTTCTGTATGTCATATTGTGGCCATAGTTCCTAAGTGCTTTACAGAACTACAGAGATGCCTGAGAAACAGGAGTCAAATGTGATCACTTGGCATGGTTACATCATCTTTGAGGTTATAAGTAAGAAGAGAGAAAGAGACAGAAGAAAATGAGAGAGGATGAACTGCAGAGAAGGAACCAAAGAAATGTGTTACTGGAAGGCTCTGCAATGCTTTCATTCCATCAGAGCTGTCCAGAAATAGAAATGGGACTGCATCTGGAGGTTCTGAGTTCTCTATCACTAGAGGTCTTCAAGTAAAAGCTGGATGATTTCTGGTCAGGGATGTTGACTCTACTCAGGTACAGATGAGGCTAGATGACTTGGGGTCCTTTCCAGCCCATGGGTTATAATTCACATATTTGTATGTACTATTGAATGGATTTTAAATGAACAGTTTTGATCTTAATAAGAAAATAGTATATTTCTCCATTCTAAATAGCTAACTATAGAAATTAAAAGGTTGTTATGATTCTGGCGGGGGTGGGGGGAGGCTTTTTTTTTAAATTATCTCGACTGTTTTTTTTATCTTCTAACTGCTTTATATGGGATAATGGTGACTATCTAGATACCTGAGTTAAGAAAATTTCACGGTAATTTATTTCAGGATTTCGAAATACATAAGCTTGGATATTTGTTCTTAGGGTTTTCATTATTTGTCATGTCAGAAAAAATTAAAATATAAAGAGGAAGGATTGCTGAGGTATGTTTCAAAAAGGCCTAACTTAGGCTAAATTAGACTTTCTTTGAGAGCTTAAAAACTAGACATAATATCCTTAAATCTAATCTCTGCTGACTGATAATGTCCTTATAAATATAGAGTGGAGTGGGGCGCTCTGGAGATCAAGAGAGTTAGATTCTAGTTATCTCTGTTCCTGTCTGATTTGGGCCAAGTTAATCTCTAAGGCTGTGTTTATGATGGTGAAATAACCAGGACCAAAACCCTTTGTTCACATTGGCTCATCTTTCCAGCTGAATCACATAGCCACAGCCTAGAAGCACCAGCTTTCCTGTTCCTAGTATAACAAAAATGGACCAATATTTCTGTTCTGTCTTGGAATTGTTGACTTTTATAAATGGAAAAGACCTTAGAGATCATCTTTTATGTTATAATCTTTGGATAATTTTAAGATAATAATAAAATTGTCTCTTATTTTAAAGAAGAGAATACTGAGTCTCAGGGAAGTTGTGATTTGCCTACAATCATACAGCCAGAAATGGCAGAGTCAAGCTAGAACCCAGATTTCCCAAATCCTGGTCCACTGTTCCTTCTGGTAAACCATGCTGCCTTGATTGTGCAGCTGTGCCTCAGTTTCTACAGATGAAGAAAATATTTTATTGATACTAGTAGGCCCTACTCAAATGAAATCCTCTATGTAGACACACTTTGACTTTTCAGAAGAAAAGTACTAAATCTAAAAATGTGTTCGTTGTCTTTCTGGATAAGGTACTTTAGGAAATATTGTTTGTTTGTTAACATGTGCTACCAATACATACAAAGGGAAATACAAATACAAAGGAAGGCATTCATGCTCAAATAACTGAATAATGCCTGTTTGAAATTCCTGTAATATTACACCTACTTGTGAAGGGTATGTTGATTCTTTGGCGTTGATTGATGTTAATTTTTAAATGACACTCTAAAAGCTATAGATGCTTTGTGAATATAATGATTTTTTAGACTACAGAATTTTAGTGTTCTTGTTCCAAAATGTTACGAAAGTTGCATCTCTGGTGTTGTGAGGTTTCTTTGAATCATATTTACTCTAAGGTCATAAAACAATGTTAGGATGCCTTCAATTTTCTAAAACCAGCAGCAGCACTATAATATAAAAAGAACCCATAATAGGCATAACTTTGACAGGCTTAAATCTAAGCTGCCAAAAATAAAATCAGAAGAGAAGACCAATGTAGATCTAAAACACTGATCTTTACTATAAAAGTACCAATGCCAAAACAGAATATTAGATAACATCATCAGAGCCTTAGAAGGCCCATGGCACTTTATAGGCTAGCTCAAGTGGAGGGGCATATAGGTATTACTGGTTAAGGCATTTATTTCTTTGACTTTCAGCCTCCCCAGTCCTCACTCTGCACCTCAGGTCATTGCAAAAGCTTTGTGAGGAGATCAGAAAATTATGTTAGGTAGGAATAACTATTTGACTGCCATTTTTCAAACTACCTACCAAGATATTAAGGAGAGGTACTGAGAAGAGAACTAAGAATTGGTTTATGGTTCAGAAATTATGTTTTGTCCCTTTTCTAATGAGACAGTCTCAGTTTAGAGCCCGTCTCTGAGATCCACTGAACTTTCACAATGAAATTTCATCAAGATGTAAAATGCTTAACATTTTATATGACTTTAAATAATAAAATAACCTACAACATTTGTGTCAGGAAGGATATAGAATGGGTTTTCATTTCTTCAGGGGATTTTTAAAATGAAATGTCACAGTTCTGATCTACATGTATTAAATGTAAGTAATGTTTCACATTTTATTTAGTAAGTTACATTTCCGTTTGGCCAATCAATGTCATGGGAGGGTAAGATCAACTCTTGCTTGTAAATAGTTCATGTTTTGCCAAAACACTTCAGAATGACTGACTAAAACACTATTTATTTTGCCTACTTGTGGGCGTTGAATGATTATTTTAAGTTTCTCTGATATGTGATTAGAGTATAACAATAGACACTCCCATATCATACAAGATGTTGCTGTTTAGTATTTTCAGTCGCATCCAATGCTTTTGTGACCTCCATTGGAGTTTTCTTGGCAGATACTGGGATGTTTTGCCAGTTCCTTCTCTAGCTCATTTTACAGATGAGGAAACTGAGCTAAATAGGGTTAAGTGACTTGCCCAGAGTCACAGAGCCAGTAAGTGTCTGAGGCTGGATTTGAACTCAAGAAGAGTCTTCCTGACTTAAGGCCTGGCACTCTATCCACTGTGCCACTTAGCTGCCCACAGAAGCTGTAACATAGTAATAAAATACATTTATGAGGGAAGATGGTAAGACTCTACAACTTTAAGAGGACCAACCCTGCTTACCATTCTTGGAGGCAGAAATAAGGACTAGAAGATCTCTTAAACTACCTTGTTACCACTATGATATTTTGAAAACAAAGAGGGAGAGAATTCTATGTAAGGCAAGAAAAGAGCGTGGGGATCCTGTTTTAACTATATATAACTAAAAGCAAGACAACTGTTTTCACAAAGTAAAATCAGCCACATTCAAAGTATAGTACACAAATGCTGTTCAAGATAAAACTGTAGTAGTGAACAATGTGATAAAAATGGAAAGAACACGGATTCATATCATGACTTTGTCAATTAATGATAGCTGATAATAATAGCTAGCACTCTTGGTGCTTTAAGGTTTGCAAAGCACTTTACAAATATAATCCTTACAAGAACCCTGGGAAAGTAGGTGCTGCTATTATCCCCACTTTACAGATGAGGAAACTGAGGTAGACATTAAATTAATTGCCTAGGGTCACACAGCTATTAAGTGTCTGAGGTCAGAATTGAACTCAAATCTTCCTGGTTTCGTGTATAGCACTCCATCCGCAATGCTCTTTGTCAAACCATTTAACTTCCTTGTTCCTTAGTTTTTTCATCTGCAAGGTGAGGAGGTTGGACAAGATGACCACTAGAGATTCCTGTCAGCTCTAAATCTCTATTATCATATAAACCGTGCACATTCAAAAGGCAGGTCACCTCTTACTCGCCTTAACTATATATACTTTGTTTTATTGCTAAGTTCAGGTAGTCACAGAGATAAGTATTCACTATTTCCATGGAGGTTTTTGTCTAGACATTTTGTTATCATTTCACATACATGTAACTTTAGGCACTTTCCTAGATGTCTTCTGACTCTAATTAATGCAGCATTTTATTAGGCATTTTATAGATGAACTATAGAGATGCTATGAAGATACACATGATTTCATGGCTGTCATCATCACCATCGTCATCATTCCTACTGTGTAATGTAATGAAACCTCAGAGTGAGTCTGACTCTAGTTGTACAAGTCACTTAGCCTTTGTGGATCACAATTTCCTCAACTACAAGTTCCTTTCAATTCTAAAACCTGGTAAATGCATTCCTCATCCAAGAACTTCATGAATAGTCAAAAAAGTATCATCTGAAGTTGCTGCAAAGAGAGCTTTGGCATGGGTATCTAACTGGATTCTTATACTGGCTGTTTTTTTAAATACATGGATAATCTTGGGTAAATGATTTCTCCCCTTTGAAACTGAGTTTTTACACCTGATAAATGGGGAGGCTAGTCTGGATGAGCTCTGATACCTCCCATCTCCATTGTTGTGATGTGCTGTTTCGTGAAAGAAACATGGATTGTATATGATGGGCTCTTCCTCACTGTTGAGAATCCCTGCTAAACAGTATTTTTTTTTTGAGAATCTGCTTTAATAAAACTCAAGTACATAGATAATTAAAAGTTAACTGAACACTCTTAATTATTTCTCTAAAATTTTCTTAGATAATAAAAGCTTGAGGAAGGCATTTGAAGGTTAACAAAACAAGGGAATTGATTTTGGAGGAAAGGAAATAAATATAACATTGGTAGATGTATATTCATGACTTTATTTCATGGATAAATAAAATAGCGTGTGTATGTGGGTAATGCTATTGGATTCCTCTTGGGTGACGTCACTGAACATTGTTTTCTAAATCATTTTGGAAGAAGAGAAGCATCACTTTCCCTCTATATAATGTAGAATCAGATAAACTTATTGACTCAAGGAAAGCCAGTTATAAATTGGTCTGATATCTCCTTTCCATGGAGTTAAAGAAAAAATAGTGATAGTGATCTGAAGAATAATGCAAAATTTCAATGTACTTGGGATATGTTTAATTTAGGTTACAAAAATGACATGGTTATCATCAAGTTTTTATTAATATCACTTTAATCTTGAATAACAAATATTAATACTGATAATCTGTACTGTAAAAATAAGACAATTTTTGAAGAGGTAGCATGACAGCTAAGAAAATACAGTAGATGCCATGAGGAAATAGTTATATAAATGTGTATAAGAGCAAAAAAAAAGAGGAATGACCCTAGAAATACTAAATGTAGTGACAGTATGTCCTAAAAAAATTTGTTGGAAATAAGCATTTATTGTTTCAGTCAAACTCAGAAAACTGTTATAAAATCAATTTGATTTTTTTCTGAGTTCATAGGAAACCAAATGGGCACTGTACTCTTTGTGAATATACAATGTGCCCAAGTGTTTCTTGGAATTTCACTCTGGACAAGACCCAATTGCCATACTGAATTTCTCTAAAGGTGATAGATACAAGAAGGTATGTCATATGTATGTGGTAACTTCTTATACACATGACTGTATTCTATTCTGATTAATGAGAGTAAAGGAAAGAGAAAAGTAGTTTCTGCAGAAATTGATGCTGAAGACCTGGACTGCTAATTATGCTGGGAAGTATGTGCTCAAGCTCATATTGGCCTCATTAGCCATCATCAGTGCTATAGATAAGACAATCATAGAAGTCAGCATCCTCATCTAATGAGAGATTGCCAAAGAAGAGATTACTATCATTTAGAGAGGGAAAAGTGGCTCCAGTATCCTATAATGAGATGAAGAGGACTTTCCTATTTTGGTTTTTCACTTTAAGAGTCCTTGAGTAAATCCAAAATATCTGATTAGCTGGGTGTAAAAAGAGTAGGTGATCCAGTTTTGAGAGAACAGATTTATATATTTCAAATACTGTGATAAGTAGCATACATGGAAGAATTCATCTAAGGACAAGGACCAAAGTGTTTGAGGCCAAGTTATATTATTTAGATAAGAAAATATTTCAGATTGCAGTTATTTCTCATTACATGAAAGTGAGCTCTTGAAGTTATCTGCCATGGGGATATAAGGGAGGTAGGAAAAAATACTCAGGTTTTATTTCTGGACTAAAAGATTTCTGTCTCTTAAATCATCTGTCTTGTGGCATCTTTCACAAGTACTAATTTTTCATGAAGTTTTGTTTGTGGAGAGAGTCGTGTTATGTCAACATTTGTGCCAATTTACTGAAATAAAAATGATATTTCTCTGTTCTGTATAATGCTTTTTCAATAAATGTCTAAGCAAATAGTAAGCATGTTGTCAGGTCATGCCCCAGTCAGAACATATTTATATGTTATTCTTGAGATGAATCTGAATCACTGAAATGAGTCATGGATTAATTCTAGCTCCAGACAAACATCTCTGGGTAAGAGATTTTTTTTTTTTTAGAAAGTGAAAGGTGGGTGAATTCAGGACTAGAGCTAAGTCATTTAAAAAAAACTGGGAGAAAAACAGAAGTAGGCAGAGAGGACTGGTGGAAATGTCATTGAACTACAAGTCAAGAGACTGGCTTTGGTCCAGCAAGGTCCTTATCTACTTGTGTGTTCATTTGACCAAGTTACTTAACCTCTGTGAGCCTTACTGGCTTCATCTGCAAAATGAGGAGGTTGGAGTGGTTGATCTCCAGCATTCCTTCTGGCACTCATTCTATTACAGTCTATCTAATGCATTCAGAGGCCAATTAGTATTTTGTCAATGTCTCTGTATTTTCTCAAGCCAGGGGATGAAACTCTTTAAGTTCTTCTATATTCTCTAAAACCTAGAGTTGCCCTGAATTTCCTCACATTGGATATCCTGTTACTCATTGCTTGCTAGTAGCTCAATCAAAACTTAATTGAGAGGAAAGGAGTAACCTAACCATGTATAAAAAAGTATGGAGACAAAGGCAATGTCATGCTTATATCCCTCTTCCTAAACTTATGGCATTAAATTGCTACCAAATTCTAATCATGGCTTCAATTGAAAAAAATTAGGTGGGAGTGAAAATACCTATTTTTGTTTTATCAATTGATGTTAACTCACTGTATGACTTTGGGCAAGTGACTTAGCTTCTCTGGTCTTCAGTTTCCTCATTTGTAAAATTTTAGAATTGCACTAAATGATCTCTAATGGCCTTTCCAAAGCTATCATAAAACTCAATCATTCCTCTACCACAGGGACTATAGCAGATTTCATGGTTCATATCCCAGTCTGCTTTGGCAGTTACCAATAGAAAGACAACCTAATGATTTAAATGGTTCAGGGAGAAATAAATATTTCTGGGTTCATAGTTATGCCTCTGTTTGCTATGTTCATCTGCAAAAGGGATTCATCTGTTGGGAGTGTAGAGGGAAGGAGAAAGGGAACTTAAAAATGAGATGAAGGGAGATGGATCTGAGATCACCTATGTTCAAATGCTGCCTCTGCCCTTTTGCTACCTTGGAATAGTCATGTCACCTCTCTGTACCTCAGTTTACTTGACTGTAAAATAGGAAGAAGAAACTGGGCTTGACCTCTAACATCCTTCCCAGCTCTAAGTCTGTGATCTTATTTTTAATTTTTTCAGTACATTTAAAGAGGCACTGCAGAGGGCTGACTACCTAATTTCTGGACCACTCAGGCACCTTCACTTCTCATTTTTTTTTCTTTCATCTACAATTTACCCATGTCATCAAACCCTCAGGCCTCTGTCATAAGGAAAAAGAAGGGAGAAGATGGTGATAATCACATCAATTTTGCCGCAACCTAGAAACTTTAACAGAAGAAAAACTATGGGAGGTTAAAATTAATGGTCATATGAGGCTTAGTGGTTATCCATGTACTTCATTCATATCTATTTCTGGTTATCACAGAGAATTAAGATTTTACATAGCTTACTAACTTGGGTCACACTCCAGCTAGGCAAGGCTGTGTAACATTTAGGCATTATGTGTCACCATTGTCTAGCCCAGGTGTTCTTAACCCTGGC